TTGTTTACATATTTACAAATGTACTTAATTGATTTTACAGAACTGCAAAGCTCCACGTTGATATGAGCTTTATACGTTTTTGAAAGTAATGGTGAATATGGTACCACCCACTGATTGTCAATTTCAACTTGATTTGGATAATTTGCCAGTCGCATTGTAAATGTGTGGCCACCATTCTCAGTATTTCTGCGGCGATATATAGGATAACCATCAATATCCGTGATAGTGTCATTCGTATGCGCTTTGGGAAATTTTTCTTACATTTTCCATTTTCCATGCATGGTGACGTGATATTGAAAGCACCGCATGGCCCATGGATCATTTGTTTAGTGACAACATCAAATAATTCTGGATCAATAAATGGGTCTGGAATTTCGGCTGAAATTATTTGATCAATTTCTTCTGGACGGATTCTTTCTTTAAGCCAAATCAAAATGTGGGCATGAGGCAAACCACGCTTTTGCCATTCAATCGTATACAGCCAACAACGTGTGATACCGAAAATTGAATAAAATCAATAAGGGATTAAAATTTTTTTTTTAAACACGCGTGCAGTTATATCATGACGATGAATTGCTTGTTGTCCTGATAATAATAAAGTTTGTATCTCTTCCCAATTTGGATTACATGTAAATGTAATAAACAAATCCGGTCGGCCGTAATGACGAACGTAAGTCATCGCGTCTTGTATGTATTCCTGCATGTTCCGTGGACTGCCGATGTAGGTTGAAGGTAAAATGAAAGCATTACCGATGTTATTAGGATTTAAATTTCCAGCAACAGCATCTCGTAAGTGAATATATTCTTCCGATCGTAATTTAGCCCGGTTGAATCGAATGAATCGCAAGCGTTCGCTTTCAACCTTAGCATACATATCAACAATGTATTGATGGAATAGCTGACGATATCGAAGGATATAGTTGTCCTGATTTAATCTAATCATTATTCGGTGTGCGTAGTAGTTGAGTAGTTGAGCTCACTTTTTTATTTCCATAATTACCTAAAAATAAAAAATAAAATGCAATATAAAATTAACATTTATACATACAGTAAGAAAATAAATAGGTTATTGTCAAATTTACCGGTATTAGGATCACACTGTTTGATGTTAAGGTGATATTCATCCTGTCCTTGCCAAAATATCAATGGATATTGTAGTGCATCATATGAACGGTGAAGATCCGAAATCGTACTGATAGTATTGTCTCGCTGTGTAATTTTTATAGATCTTTTGTCAACTGGATCACCAACCATGATAACAGCAACCTCATCAACAGTTGGAGCGTTGAATCTCCCAGCATGTTCACCTAATGGTACTTTATCGGCTTTTATGACTATTTGATAGTTGTCATTTTGCAATCGTGGCGAAACTCGTTTTATTAATTGAATTAGTTGATTCCGATATTCCAAAATATTTTCTAGTAACATCACTATCGCTCTTTCCTCTGCTTGTTCAATAAAATTATACTGGCACCGAGTCGTTACGCGCTCTTCACAATTGCCCATAAAATAAATTTGAAGAAATTTCGGATTATCATCAGGCATTGGCATCAATGATCCAATTTTGTGGTACACCTGGCCTTGTATTTTGAATGTAGTTTCAAAATTACGTCCATCGGATGCAAGATCACAAATTTTAGTGGCCCCAAATGAAGTCATTTGGAAGCAAGAATTAAATTTGCGTATTTTACGCAAAAATAATTTTGAGTCATTTGAATTTCCAGCAAGAAGGGATAATAAAGGTTCTGGCGGAGCAGGTAGAGGTTGCAGCACGACTTTTCCTGCTGCGCAGCACATACCGGCAGTTTCATTCCGAAATTTAAACGCCTGACAATATTGACATACTTTGTCCATTCCACCGATAGCAATTTTTGAATGCGCAGAGTAGTTAATATCTGGTGCATATTCAAAAGCAAGACGAACGAATGATGTACGAACTAATGAGCGACTGTTCCGCTGCCTTTGTCGTTCTTGTGCTCGTACTATATCTATGTTTCGAGCTCGAGCCGCCCTGATTCTCGTAATATTCTGCTGTAGACGTTCGCTACGCTGTTCCTGGGATTCTTGTGCACGACCTTCTGCTGTCCTAATTCTTTGAGCTCTATTTCTTGTATTGACTTGTTCTGGCAACTCATGAGCTCTTTCGAAATGTATGCGTCGTGCCGCTCTGCTGCTTACATTGTTGAGATTCGATCTTTTCGGTGGCATTTTACTGAAAATAATATCTTACCTTCTTAATGTATTTAAAATGAGAATTTAGAGACTCACCACTTATAAACGCAAAACAATAATTATGAATGACAAATGACAATAATAGAAGAGACAATCTGGCGAAATGCGATTTATTGAAATAATTTATTACAAAATATGTAATACGTGAAGAACCGCTCGATCAATTTTGTGCAAATTCATCGACAAAATAGCCCGAGCAATGCATAAAGATTTGGTTAAATAAGCACACCAAATTTCATGAGAATCGGTAAAGCCGTTTCGGAGGAGTGCATAAAAAAATAAGATTCCTCCTTATTCTGCCGAAACTGCCATGATGAAAAAGATCTAAGCTATCCTTTCTCTCAAGTTGAACCAAACTGCGTATTGCCTGCAAATTTGAACGAAATCTGTTAAGCGGTTTAGGAGTCTATAGCGAACAAACTGTCACTATGTATGTATTATGGAGATTTTTATATATTAAGATATACATAGACTTATGATAATACGGTCAACTTACTCTGTTTGGGTGCTGGAATTGGCATAGCCCAATTTTGGAAAGTCGAGTTCAAGAATTATCTGTGGAACAGCATCTTCGTTCAAACGCCTTTTTTAAATTGATGGACAATTTCTAGTGCATTTCTCTAAAATGCGTTTCACAAATTTCAGAGTAATCTCCTAGTTTGCACCACAGCGATTCCTCCCATAACGCTAGTTTTTCTAGACATTTTTGGTAAATTTCACGCCATTGACGTGTTTACGGAACACCAGTGATGTTTTTTTTTTTTTTTTTTTTGAGCATAAAAAGCTGGATTAACAAAAAAAAAAAAAAGCTGAAAAAAACGGAATTCCATAGGGAAAAGCTTAAAAAAAACATATTTTTTAAAAACTTTTCGTTTGTTTAATTTATATTAACAAAAGGAAAATCAATTAACAAAAATAATATGAACTTCATTGACATTATATATAAAGAAATTATATTTAAATTATATTTAATATATCATCCCAATGCTCATCATCTTCGGACCGATAATAATCCCGTTGATAAGTCTCTCAATGCAGCTACTTGGTAGCTGGTAGTCAAAACAGCATTTATTGCTTCGGCGTAGTCCATACCTAAAATATTAAGTAAATTAATTTCGAATTTAAAAATATATCTAATAGGGTCTTTCCACACACCGTCAAAGCGTTTCACCGTCCGTTGAACTAACTGCCCATAAGGTTTTGCCAAAGACAATAGAGCTATAAGATAAGTAACGCCATACGATTTTTTTGCACACGATTTTTTTGTGCTGGCTTTTGAACTGGCTCCAGGCTCTCTTAGATTTTGTTCAAAAGCCAGCGAAGAGAGCGCTCTAGAGCCAGCCGTTCTCTTATACGCATTCAGCGACGCCGCCGGGTGTTTGTGTGCAAACGGGCCTCAGAAGGCCAATTTCGCTAATAAATTTATTTTTTATTTAAACATCTCTTTAATTTTATATACTTATTGATTTATAAATGAATTTTTTATAATGTATGAATCATAATAATATATTGTTAATTTATTAGTCAATTGAATTAGATAATTGTAAATACATATGTAATTATGTATGCATTTAAATCAATTATTTGTATTATTTTGCATATTTATTTAATAATAAAATTATAAAATATACAGACAGATGAAAATAAAATTTAGTTAACTGATTTTCTGGATTGAACTTGTATACGAATACAATCCATATTCGAGATCAGCTGTTTTTGCTGCCGCTACTATCGCACAGTGGCGCCTTTTCTCAATTAGCGTTTCGAAAATCATATATTTTGAACCAAATAAGATAACCTAATAATTTGAACGGATAGATAATTGTTGTAAAATATATATATGTACTGCATAATAATAAAAAAAGATATGCTAACTGTAGCGCTCACGGTTTTGTGGCGGTTACACTTAGCATAAAAAAAAAAATTTTAATTGATTTTATTACAGATTCTCAATCCTTGAGAAATGTTCTGTCGAATAAGTATGGTTAAAATCGTTTTTGCGAACATGACTTTTTTGATTTTTGCAACGCTAATTGTTCGAGAGGCGCTACTGTGCATCGCCTCCTAACAAGCGGTCGCTAGCACTAAGCACATTTTTACATTTTTTGGTGCTTGCGCGCTGGCGCACACATATTCTCGCACACATACGCGCTTGCGTGTTCTTGTGTTTACTCATACAAGCAAACGCATTCTATTTTTAGAACGCGATTGTCGTTGCCCTTCAGTTCCAGAATTCCTCGCCCGTCCAATTCCTCGCGGTATGTTCGAAAAACAAAAACAAATTACATGGGCCTCGTTCAGCGAAGTTCGAAACAAAATAGCCGAAACAAATTCTACCTACGCTCGGCTACTGCCGAGGGCTTCACGAAGTTCGTTCTTCATATTTGTTATTGTTTTCGATCTACGTTCGGAGTAGCGGTTGCGAGAATTCGTAAATTAGAGAGAGATGGAGATGGAAGGAAGGGAGGAAAGAAAATTGGTGTCAAAAACAAAGAGTATTGCACCGACGTGAGAATGACCTTTTTAAAATAAGTAGAGTTATTTAAAAATATTTAAGATTATATTTAATTAATTTTTACGTATAAAATCGTGTGGGATATAAGCTCGTAAGAAAATGTGCTTTAGACATGGCCGAAATGTTCATGTTTGATTATTGGCCCTTTGTGAATCTAATTGCAAGGCATTGCCTTGTCGGCTATACCCTGACACGCGCGAGAATTTTCGGTCTTCCGTTTTGTCTTCTAATTCTCTTTGCATTTTGAGTTGACTGCTGTTGCATTCAGATGTGTTTTGCGTATAGTTGCGTAAAAATGAAATATTATAAGGTAAGTGGAACTTATTTGCATTCAATTATTAATGTTAATTGCAGAATTGACGATTAAAATGGATGCGACTTCAACCTAGACGGTGTGAATGGGATTCAGTACGGATTTACAAAGTTTTTTTATCCAGTTTAAGTTGGTATGTACTGCAATTTACAATTTGATTAAAAACAAAAAAGAAAGCTAACTTCGGCACGCCGAAGTTTGTATACCCTTGCAGATTGGTTTTCATATTTATGTCATAAATTATAATGCCGAAAACAGACACTAAACTGAGTTACATACCATTTTACCTATACTTATTATGTTTGCAGTTTGACAGTTACAGTTATACATTCCCAGCTTTACATTTTCTCTACATCTGATCGCTTCTATGGCTGCTATATGATATAGTTGTCCGACTTTCATAAAATGTATACCAAAATTCTATAATAATAAGTAAAGCTCATATCTCAGAGTAGATGAAAATACATTGAAAAACAACGAAGTTATAATTTTTTCTATTACTTTCCCTATCGTTCCTATGGCAGCTATAAGATATAGTCGTCCGATTGTCATAAAATTTTTACCAAAATTTTGAAATAATACCAGAAGCTCATGTGTCAAAGTAGATTAAAATACGTTGAAAAACAACGAAGTTATAATTTTTTTGATTAATTTCCCGATCGTTCCTATGGCAGCTATAAGATATAGTGGTCCGATTTTCATAAAATTTTCACCAAAATTCTGGAATAATACAAAAAGGCTATATCTCAAAAATGATGGAATAATATTGAAAAACAGCCAAGTTAAAATTATTTTTCTAAAAATTTATTGAACATTTGTATGGCAGCTATATGATATAGTCGTCCGATCCGGCCCGTTCCGACATATATAGCAGTGAGAGTATATAGAAGACTATATGCAAAGTTTCATTCAGATAGCTTTAAAACTGAGGGACTAGTTTGCGTAGAAACGGACAGACGGACGGACAGACGGACAGACGGACAGACGGACGGACAGACGGACAGACGGACATGGCTAGATCGACTCGGCTGTTGATGCTGATCAAGAATATATATACTTTATAGGGTCGGAAACGTCTCCTTCACTGCGTTGCAAACTTCTGACTGAAATTATAATACCCTGCAAGGGTATAAATATGTATGTACTTATGTATTTAATTTACAGATAAAACAAGTTTCTTAAAGGACCCAGCAGCCGGCAAAGGAGACTCGTGACACGCACTTATGTACATACATATATGTACATGTTTAATTTTGCAGAAAAATGTAATGCTACCAAAAAAGTGAAGATAAATAAAAAAATGCAATCCATAAATAAATAAGGAATAAATTACATCGGATTTTTACTAGGAAGGGGGGGATTTTTCAGGAATTTTCTATAGATTTTCATCTGGGATTCCTGGCGGATTCCGCTAGCGAATCCCGCGGGATTCCGCAACGATTTTCTCGGGATTCCTCGACGATTCCCGCCAGCCATTACCGCGGGATTCCTCGACGATTCCTGGAGGATTCGAGTTCGAAATTCCCGTGGACCTTCCCGTGCGATTCGTGATGGATTCTTGGGCGAATTTCGAATTACAGGCTGGGACCACCCGTTGTATGGAAATTCCTAGCCGAGTTGTATGAACGTTCCATGGCGAATCCTCATGGAATTATTTCGGTTCCATGGCGAATCGTAGGGGAATCGTTGACGAATGGAACTGAAGGGTGCCATCAAAAATGAAGCCCCATATTGCAAAACGAATGTATGTATGGGCGTGAGGCATCTTATCTTGTTAATTGTATTGCCTTTGGTTTTGCCGTTCCAAATTTTCTCAAACGCATTAAAATCTAACTATCTTATGCGATAGTTTTTCGGTGCAACTGTGATTTCTTCTTCTTAACAGTGAAAATTTGACCAACACTTCGAAAAATGTAAACAAAGTTGGCGAGGAACAATTGAAAAATGAAATTTAAAATGTGGCGCCAAAGTTACAAACATGCCCAAAATAGTTGTTGGTGTTTTTCTCTTTATTATTTCCCCAATATGTCCCCAATTGTTACTATTCAATATAAACCGCATACCTCAACCATATTTTAAAGATTTTGGATGCCTAAACCACCTATAGACACCCTTCGGGGAATTTGCTCTTTGTTAAAGAAAAATCATTACAAAAACTAAAATTCCTTGTCATTTAATTCATTTAAATTTAGTGCGGATAAATTCTGACGCAATCTATGCTTTTGCGGTTGTACAACAGCCAAAACAGTTGGTTACAGTATAAATATGGACCTTATGGTTAGAATAGCGTTTAACGTTTCGACGCTTAGTCTATATCGTATTTTTGTTTTTACCAAGTTAACTTGGCTGAACACCCGCTTAACCTCGGCATTTGACCAGGGAAGGGTCAGAATTTCTAATGCAACTAATGCCAGTTCCCTAAAACGGCAGTTTCCGCCACTGTCCTTGTATGTTAGCACTTCGATTCAGAAGCTAACAGTGTCGTCGACATTTTGCCATTGGACTATTTTAATACCATTTTACTGCCGTTCTATTTGGTCAATATTGGGTGTACCAATATACTCCAGGATACTCTGTTTTAAGATATTGAAATTGTCTGGCAACCTAAAATTAAAAAATAAAAAATTGTTTCGCAAGCTCTACCACAAAGCCTGTACAGCATTCTCTAATTTCCTTTTCTTCTAAGGATTTCATTTTCATGGCTTTGATTTCTTTCTTAAAGTCATACCCGAGATAAAAAGTCGCTTTTGACATGTCTTTTAAAATCGTCGTCATTAATAATATCTACCGCACTACCAGGAATAATTAGTTGTTTTAATGAGCTGATAGCGAATATAAATGATTTAAAGGCTTCGTCGCATTTGCCGAATCGCTCTGGAAACATTTGTTTATTTTTTGCATATCCTGCAATATGGGCTTCAAAAATAGCAGGTACACATGTTTTTTTTTTTTGTCACAGAACGAATCATAGAGAATGTTAGCTGTTTTGCATTTTTCTTTCCGAGCAGCAATTCGAAAGTGAGTTTTAAGCTTAACCCACTGATCTAAAATTCGTGTGACTGCTATTTCGATGGACAACCACCTAGTGTCACATACCCTTCGAATTTTAAGGGGAGCCTTATGGTAAAAAATAAGCTAATTAATGATTTTAACATACATTAAACACTTGCTGCAGGTTAATATTAGCTTGGCATTAGTAGAATCTAAAGTTTTTGGAAATTAAAAATATTAATACATAAATGGCTATACACATATAAAACAGATATTTGTACTCAATATACCTTTTCGTGCCGAATAGAGCTTTTTGAAAACAAATTATAGGTTTCGTAAATTAAAAACTCCAAATCGTCTGGAAAGAGTGCTTACAAGCGTAATTTTCAGCACTGAATGACAAACGCATTTGATAAGTATAAGAGATGGTGCATCCTTCTTCAAATGGGTGTAAACGCTGTTTTTGCACCCAATCATCACACTTGTGTTATCTGTTCCAATGCCGATTAGTTTGTTTATATCGAGTTTCAGACGTTTTAATTCTTGTCTAAGACCGTCTGCGATGGACAATGCGTCCCCACCTTCTAATTTTACTTAACTTAACAAAGTAGAAACTACTACTCCACGTTCTACAGAAAAGTATTTAATGACAACACCTAAACATACATTTTGAATAAATGAACATATATAAAAATTATTGTAAATAATATATGAAAATCTGTAGGGTAAGGTGGGGTAAAGCCGACAGTGTGGGTAAACCCGACCTCCCTCTGTTTTCGAAAATCGGAAGCACTACGCAAAATAATATTAGTGTTGTCGTGTAGAGCATCGAAAACAATGAAAATGGTGGTATGACACCACTTTATTAGTCAACATTGAGATGGTCAAACGACAACAAGTTTGTTTTCACAATTTTGACTTTCATTTTTGTGCATAATTAACTGCAGGATATTTCTTTTTGTCAAAGTTATCGCATGAAAAGGTAAGTGGATTTAGATTCTTTGAAAAAAGTCCTACAAAGTGCATATAAGTTTGGTTCATTTTTTTTCATAATTTCTTTTTTAATTGCGTTTTTATGAAAAATTACGTGGTGGGGCAAATCCGACCTCTAAATAGTGGGGTAAATCCGGCCGCAAAAAATTAAAAAAAAAACAACAATCACACCAAAACCATCAACATCGGAGCCAACCAGACGTTCAACTCGAACCAAAAAACGCCAGCAAGCTATTTGAGCAGCGAATCAGATGATACTGATTAATTATTTTGCTATTTTCATTTTTTAAATTCTTTTATCTTTTATTACCATTATATAACATAACATTGATTGATTTATCATTGCAAAACCTATATTTAGGTTATATCAGTACTAAATCAAGCAAAAACATAGGCGGTCGGGTTTACCCCATCATTTTTGAACATAGCAAATATGAACTTTTTCGTAAAACGCTTGTATCTCAAAACTTTCCAAAGGTATGAATAAAATGCTATGCATAGAAAGTTGCGCAAAGGTCTAACCTTTAATTTGGTATATATAAAGACTTGATCCGATGTAAAATAAGCATTTTATAGCCAAAACCATTTACTAGGTCGGCTTTACCCCACCTTACCCTATATTATTATCTTACCCAGTAATTTTTTGACGCTTACGTCTGTAGATTCGTCCAAAAGTAAGCTACATTTTGAGCCGCCAATCAATAGCTCCTCGTTAAAATGGGGAGCCAAGGCATTTTTAATAATGTAGGTGCATTTTGTACGGTGCAGCTTTGTTTTCGACGCGTTGTTGCTGTCGTCAAACTTTTTTTGACAAAGGTCACTTAAATGACAGAAACGATTGCGCTATGCTACGCTACAAATAAGCAAAGCGCTGCCTTCTGTTCAAATATTTTATTTTTTTTTTTATTTTATTGAATGTTAGAATAGTTTATAAAACTAAGACTAACATGTAAATATATAGTGCGAGCTGCCAGGGCCATCGACTATGCCTGTTCAAATATGTTAGTAGACAATTGAACAAAATTTATTTTATTTTTTTGTACAAAGCCCGCCATTGCACTGGTATGCTTTTTTGTAGCACCATGTGCACGTTCATCGCTAAGTTTAGCAGTTATACTGCATTTGCAATAACTGCAAAACACTGGTCAAGTCGGCGGGATCCTTCCTAATCCAATCCTTAAATTCGGTGTTTTGAAGCCAGGCATCTCGGACCTTTTGCTTATAACTTTCTTTTGGCATCGTTAATTTATGTGATTTCATTGAACTTAAAGCCTAGTACTCTGACGACGAAAATCCGCTGTAACACGTGTGATAGCGGAATCGCTCTTTATTTGGCTACCGAGCTAGTGTGACCAACAAAATTAAGGAAAAGCCATAAAACGCTATGAAAATGTACCTTTTATGGCGTTTAAGGCTTTTCTTTGGTCACACTGGACAGCTGTTTGTAAGCAAATTTTCAAAAAAAAAGTATTTAAAATATTAATAAGTATGGAATTATGTTAAAATGTCCTTTGTGGGTTAAATTCCATATTCTGGGCTTCGCCTTGACAGCCCCTATCAAAGCCACTTTTTTTTCTTCAACTTTCCCTCCATTAGGGGTGTAAGAATAAATCAAATGAATTATTGTTTACTATCTTGATCTGGCAACGCCATTCAATTTTCGCAGGCATCATTTTCGTCGTCAGAGTACAGAAAAAATCGACGAGGTACAAATTTCTTCTTCTTCCTTTTTTCACACCGTTTTTATACCCTTGCAGGGTATTATAATTTCAGTCAGAAGTTTGCAACGCTGTGAAGGAGACCTTTCCGACCCTATAAAGTATATATATTCTTGATTAGCATCAACAGCCGAGTCGATCTAGCCATGTCCGTCTGTCCGTTTCTACGCAAACTAGTCCCTCAGTTTTAAAGCTATCTGAATGAAACTTTGCATATAGTCTTCTACATATATGCTCTCACTGCTATATATGTCGGAACGGGACGCCATACAAATGTTCGATATATTTTTAGAAAAAAAAATTATAACTTTGCTGTTTTTCAACATTTTTGCACCATTTTTTAGATATGGCCATTTTATATTATTTTTAGAGTTATGGTAAAAATTTTATGAAAATTGGACGCCTATATGATATAGCTGCCATAGGAACGATCGAGAAATAAATAGGAAAAAAATTATAGCTTTGTTGGTTTTCAACGTATGTTTATCTACTCTTTTATTATTCTAGAATTTTGGTAAAAATTTCATAAAAATCGGACAACTATATCTTATAGCTGCCATAGAAGCGATCGGTAAATGTATAAAA